AATATGGTTTGATTCTCGAAGCGTATGGTGTCCATGAGGTGGGCCGTGCGCAGGATGTCTTCTTTCAATTGATGATTTTCTAGGCAGCATATGATATCTCTTGGTTGTTCTTCTGGCGGCGGCATTGGTCGCAGTGCCCTGTGTGCCCTTACTATGCCTAGTGTGGGTATTTGCTGGCCCCCCAGTACCTGGGTGAACAGTCGCTTTAGGGTGTCAGGTATGTGTTCCGCTGGGTCACCGTCCCTCACCCCGCGGACGCGCAGGTTCAGCCTGCGGCTGCGGTTGTCCAGGTCATCCACCCACGTGGTGAGGCTGGCTAGGTCAGCTTCCTGGTTGGCAACTGGAGTTTGTGTGTTCTAGGTCTGTGCGGAGGGCCCTTTGTCTCAGACTCTGCTACCGACATGCAGGCCTCCACATTAGCCAGGTCTGCATGTAGCTGGGCCACCTCCTCTCTCACTACCCTGCCCAAACGGTCTGACAAGGCCTCAAAGTCTGCCTTAGTCAGTAAATTCTGCAATTTTGCCCTCCACTCACCCTCCTGCGTTTGTTGTGGCTCAGACATGATTGAGGGTGTAGGTGATAGTGTGGCCAGTGTGGAGGGGAAGGAGTCCACGTCCTGGCTTGCGGTGACCGCGGGCGGGCTGTGGCTTGAAGGTAGGAGCGGATGGATTGCTCCCCTTCCCTGCCTGACGACCTCGCGGTGCCGCTGGGGTCTGTGGGCTTCCTTGTGGGACCCATTATTTGTGCGTGGGCGAGCGGTATGCGCGGGTTCTCGCTGTATGCTTGCGGGCGCCACGAGGAGCTCCTGCACTAGGTGTCCATCTTCCTCGGCCGCCGGACACACCCCCTCGATATTCTTTTGTACTTTCATGCCCAGAGCTTTCCCCCCCTTTAGTTCTGTCATGCCAAATCTTTTTCCCTTTTTCTCTTCTTTTTCTCCTCTTTTTCTCCCTTCCCTTTTCTTAATTATTTATTCTTTTTCCTTCCTTTACCTTCCCCTTCCTTTTTCATTTCTTTCCACTTCTTTCTTTATTGCTGAAATTTGATTACTTGCTATCAACACATTTCTTGCACTCAAAACTAGATTTCCACAAAAAATATAATGTATTGGCTAGATAGTTTTCCCTCATTTTTTCTCCTGCTTCCTTGTCTTCTTCTCCCTCCTCCTTCAGTTTTATAATTGCTTATAGATCAGCTTTTAAACCTGTTCAACAGGTTCAGCAAGTTTTAGCACGGTCAAGCAAGTTACCACAAGTCTACAGCAGGCTGCAGCATGGCTCGCCAGAGATCGGCCGGAGACAGCCAAAATCAAAGCATACCAAAGCACCACAGCCATCAGGGAACAAGACCCATCGGTAATCCCGGCATTAATAGGTTGAAGAAATCTGTTCTATCTGTAGCAGTCCAAAAACGGTGAACATGAGGGATGCTTCAGCGTGCTAGGGCTTCATTAATTAATGGCTTTGCCTGTCAGCTCTCCTTCTTGGCGCCAGGGATGAGCCTCACAGTGGGCGGGTGATCAGAAGCGCGTCCATACATACAGCGTTACATCTCTTCACCCCGTCAGGTGATTGCCTTTGCAGGTGTTGTAGCTTAATTGAAAACAATAGCTTAAATACAACTACCAGAAATCAAAATTATGAAGTCATCTGTAGCAAAAGGTTTTGAGAAAAAAATTGTAAACAGTGCAGGTGAGAAAAGAAGGGCAAAACGGTAGCATTTATGGTGCAAATTTTAAAACTAGTGAAGATAAAATAAAAATATACTCACATAAGTAAAATGTATCTAAACTAAACTACATATGGCACCAAACAGCTGGAGTTGCCTGGAGTAGTCCTC